CATAGCAGTGAGTCGCAAGGATTATAAAGATCTATAGGGGTTCCTATGTGATTAGGCAAATCAAGTCATTACACCGCTACACCCTTCTTTCGGGAATAGGTAAAGGTAAGGCTGGACTGACGAATGAGGATTCCCGTTCAATCATAAATAGGGATAGCTCAAAGAATCGGTATTTTCATGGGAATAGCTGAGATAGATCTATGCGGGGTGGACCGGTGTCAAAGCGTCAAACCGAACGGCCAGGTAAGTGCTGGCTAGCTGAGTGAGGTTGTTCGCGCAGGTACGATATCTAGTAAAGTTCATTATCTTTCAACGGAATCAAAGACCAATTCCTCCAGGTCAGGATGGCACCTCTTGCAAGATTCGTATTCTTCCCAATAATGTAAAAAGAAAGTGCAGCTAAATCACCATATTGCTTACCGTTCACCGCTTTCTGCTATTCAAAGAGAACTGGCACAGATGGATATTCATTCCCCATTCGCCTTCCCTTTATTGATATTGATTAGGGCTAGATGACAGAAAGGAGCCAGAAGGAGCAAGCTTCGTCTATGCGGACTGACCCGATTCATTCCCCTTTTTTTGGCCTCCAGCAAAATCTCCTCCTTCCGAGCCGGGAAAGATTGAATCAGTGAAGCAAGAGAGCCCGGAAGTCCCTCCTTACCTGAGACAAGTGTCTATTCCCCATGACATGAGAGTGACTGACTCACAAGAGAATGAGTCTAGCTTCCTTTTGTTATTAAGATCTGTATATCTCTTTCTTACTTCTTACCTTTCTCACTTATGGTGGATAGGGCGAATCCGGAATCGAATCTCTGTCGTGAGCGGCTCATTATGCGACAAACTCATATGTCGCTGAATAGTTCGCTACTCTTTATCTGTTTGTCCATACATCTCATAGTTTGAGTTCTCATTTTAGAAATCTGATTCGGGAGAAAGAGGCCAGGTAACCAATATCGTATTAGGGATCAACAACCAGGTCACTCCGGGAAAGAAAAGGCACGGGAGCACCCCTTACTGAACTGAATTTTCTTTTGCATAGCGACGTTCGAAGGTATCTCATAAGAACTTCTCACTGTGTCGAGGCGAATAACGATAACAAACAAGATGGAACTCATGTAGATCTACTTGCTTACTCCTTTCCTTTATAGTGGTCCTATGCGTAGGAAGTTTGTTATAGCCCTTTGTGCAAGAAGCTGCTGAAAGTGCTCTCTTTGCTTTCAAGCGATTGACTTCCTCTGCCGGGTAGCTCTCTATCTCTATGCGCCTAGCTGGTGCTCTCTCATTCGGTTGTGTAGTTTAGCTTATAATTGTTGGTTGGAACAAAGGGAGATCCACAGTGGCAGTTGAACAAAGTCTAATTCTCTAATCCTAAATATAGTCTAAAAGATGGTGGAGAGGATTTTACCAAATAGTGCACGTGCAAGGCTATTCTTTTCCATGTACTCATATATTAGCAATAGCTGGTTTCCATCAATACAACATAAAAAAAGTTTCACGAGATTCGGGTGTTGTAAAGCGGATATCATGCCTATCTAATTTACAAATTAGCGGTTCCCTTGCTTTGATTTGGAGGAGAGCTGCTTGACAGCGATCATTGCACCATGATATTATACCCTACACACAGCATGAACTTTGGAATCAAATTCTCGTGAAAACATAAGAATACGAAACTTGAAAGAATTTTGGGACAACTTTTTTTCTCCTTTCGAAAAGGTAAACGTCTTTGATCTTTTTGTAAGTCAACGTGTTTGTGATATCACTCATACGCCCCTTCTTTGTGTGTGGTTCAAAGCCGTACTGAAATATGAGAGTCTCTGATCCCGAGCGATGATGGGGGATCCACCACTAACCAATCCAACCGGTAAGGGTTTTGTAGAACGATAGGTTACCATCTTCCTTCAGTCTTTCGTTTGTCTTCCAGGTCTCTTTGTGTTGGTTGGTAGGGTCCTACTGAGACCCATGTGAATCAGTTGCAGTTGGTTAAGTTTCTAAGGAAAGAGGGCTTTCGAGCAATCAGTTAAGCTCTTTCTGTATTAGTGAACGGTTAAGCGATATTTCTATGAAAACAAAAATCTCTTCTTTCCTTTCTAACTGTACTACTTGTGAGTAAGGAACTCTTTAAAGCAAGAAAACGGATACGCGTTAGCCGGAGAAAGGTAAAGGTAGCTAGAATATATTCATTACCAGAAAGAATGAAATACACTGGTATGCTGCGCATAAAGAAGACTTTATCATAAAGTACCTGGCATGGTAGAATATACTAATCTATGCTTCTCATAGGCATAGATCTAGCTCTAGCTTCTCTCCTTGCCACTCTATCTATAGCTATAGCTTGTCCGTCCCATCCAAGGAATAGGGACGCTTATGAAATATCGAACTATTTTCCCGCGCCTTGCCTGCTTCTAGCATCTATCATCTCTATTGTAGAAGAGTATAACAAGGTGGACGGAAAACCTGATTGCTCAATAAAGTGTGTATTCAATATACCAAGCACGGACCGGCGCCTCTCTTCCTTAGCCAACCGTTAACTTCCTCTAACGAGCGAGGAAACTTCGTTCAACACTTACTACGTTCTTTCCTTAGATTACATGAAAGAAAAGGTGTGGAATTTCCCTCGCTAACAAGTAAACGAGTGAATATTGCGTAAGTGAACGGGGAGCTACGGCTGATCGAAAAGCGAAGATAGGCGCATAGTTCAGTGATCTATCCACGAAAAAGGGAACTCACAGAGGTAACGATCCGCTTCCAAGATAGGACAAGAAAACGAGAACTGGAGTAATAGAATAAGAAAACAAAGACTTTTCGGAAAAAACAACGGAAAAACCAAAGAGATAAAGAGTGTTTCACTCACTTGCTTGCTAAAGGTAGCGCTAGCTAAGTAAAGTTTGCTACTGCTAAGGTAAACTTGAGCTACGGACTTAGGAAAGAAGGCAGCTAGTCGCTTAGCGGAGCTCGTTCTATGGACATGAGTTAGGCATCGATTGAAGAGCAAAGAAGAAGGCCAGACTGTTGCCCGGCGGACAAGCTGGCTTTGAATAGGAACGAGATGAAGAGAGTTAGCTCGTTAAAGATACCTTTCTAAATCAGGTTTGTAGCGAGCATCATGTCAGCAGCCCTTGCGACTGCGGGGAACCAATCAATAATCAGGTCAGAGAAGACTCTTCTAAACAGGAATTCTATGATCCCTCAATTTCGCTCCTAGTAATATAATGAAAGCCGCTTCTGTCTTAGTGGCTTCTGTAATCCTAAGTCTAGTACTCGCAGAATCGATATCGCAAAGCGGCATTCATCTAGTTTCATTTAGTTACAGAATTTGATTCAAAAAAAAGCAAACCAATGCCCGGCCTGGGCGAAAGTACTTTCTTCTTTCCCTTCCTGTATTGCATTATCTTTTTCATACTTTCCTAAGGTGGGACAAGTGATCCTCTAGGGACTAACTATGGACAACAATGTCATCAAGATAGACAACAAGAAAGCGATCAATATAGTTCTAAGAAATTAGAAAAGAAATCACTCATCAAATTACAGAAGGTAGCCGGGTCATTTGTAAGCCCCAAATGGCATGACAAGGAACTCGTAAAGCCATATCTGGTAACAGAAGTGGTTTTAGGCTCGTCTCCTTCTGCAATTCTGACTTTCCAATAGCCCTCCCGAACCGCATAAAAGGAAATGATTTGTGAACCAGTTCCAGATAAAGAATCTTGAATAGAAGAAGTGCGATCGATCTCTCTGCATCGTAATCAAAAAAAGAGGCATACGAATCTGCGTAATCAAGGATCTGAATCCACTGAGGCATCCAAATCCGTATCCCTATTCCCTTCCAACGGGCCGAGGGGAATGTCTTCTAGTGAAGGTTAGCTTGCTATCTCGACTGAAAGCACTTCCTTCCGCGCCCTACCTCTCTTGGTTGCCTGCTTTTAGGCCCCGCTTTAGGGCTAGCCACACCAACTCTAGTTCTCTTGCCCGCTTGTCGGGGCTTAAAGCGGAACTGAGCTTCTCACTAACAGAATAGTAAGCTTCTCAAACAAACGAGACTCGGAAAGAGTGGCGTTAAAAAGGACTGGGGAGCCTCTCGACCGATCTCACAGATGGTTAGGTTGCAATTCCTTCGCTTGTGAAGAAGCTTGGCTAGTTCTTTTTCTTCGGACATTTCTCTGTTCATCTTTCTCGTTTCTAAGGTTAGCTTCAATGCCCATAGTCAGTAGGCGAGCGCTAAAAGCGCGCTGAGCGGCCTTTTTCGTTTCTTTATTATCGCGAGTTTTGGAGCTTTTGTTTAGGAAAGAGCTTGCGTGCCTGTTTGCCTTAAACACTGCGCTATTTCACGTAGAGAGCTTTTTCTAGTTGAGCTAAGGCTTTAGTCAATGCCAGCCCTAAAGATGACTTTTGCTTGTCTTGTCTCGCCATAACAAGCTGAGCTAGATGGGCCCGCCCGAACCTGCTCCTTTTCTTTGGGGTTCATAATTGTCTGTGGGGTGATATGGATTAGACTTTAAACTGGCGTATGCCCTTTCGCTTTAGTTCAATAAGGTTGACACAGTCTTGCTCTATATGAGCATAGATGCGTATGGTATAGGAATCGGTAAGAGAAGGTCAAAGCCTTCCACGGATTACGAACTGGAGTTTTCTAATGAACGAAATGCGAGAGCAGGCCCTGCAACGTGACTTGGTTTGCTCGGGTGTAGAAGGAGCTCTTGGATCGGGGAACAGATATGTCGATGGTTTCAAGGCTAGCGAATACCATTCCATTCTTTAATGAATTAGGCTTAGGAGGCTAGCAAGAGCTAACCTAATTCGACTTACTAGAGGAGCGGAACGGAAACAGACCAAAAGTCTTCCCAAGGGGAAGGGTTGACAACCCTAGTACTCTATTCTTAGATAGAGGAAATAGCTTCCTTATGATCTGAATCCCGAACACTATTATCTATATATGTATAGATTCTATATATAGATAAGTAAATCTAAGGCACGTAGTGAAGAAACCATGCAAATCCCTACGTCGATCGATGCGCACAGAAGGAGAGCTTGTCCATCTATAAAACGCGTATGTGAAGTGAAGTCGAGTCGGTCAATTGATAAAACTATGTATAGGGGCAGCCGGGCCGTATTAGCAAGCGTGACGTGCCGGACTGAACACGTCTTTCTTTTCTGGCAACAGAAGATGAGATGTACAAGCAAGACCAGTGGTTTCAGTAGCACTACCGAGCTTGCATAAGCTCTTTTTTCACCAATCGAACCGCGCGAAATGGTCGCCTCGGAATACAGGGCGCAACGGAACCAAGGCTTTGAAAAAGGCGCGAAGCGTTGTGTTGTTGGCGTGTTGCGTCACAAAGGCAAGATGAAAGGCGGGGGGCGGGCTCCAATTCCATTCGAAGTAACGTAATAGGATTCGTTAATGCACAATCTTCAAAACTTCTCGGGATCCTTAGTTTTTCGAGCAAAGGTCCCATCCTTCAATATCATGATTGGGTCGACCAGGCCAGATCATAAGTGAAAGAAAATGATCGGGTCGACCAGGTCAGGCCCAATCATGAGTGAATAGAAAATAGAAAACGTACATTGCTGTTCCAGCGGAAATACTTGGAATCATTCTACCACTTTTACTAGGAGTAGCCTTTTTAGTGCTAGCTGAACGTAAAGTAATGGCTTTTGTGCAACGTCGAAAGGGTCCTGATGTAGTAGGATCGTTTGGATTGTTACAACCTATAGCAGATGGTTTGAAATTGATTCTAAAAGAACCTATTTCACCAAGTAGTGCTAATTTCTCCCTTTTTAGAATGGCTCCAGTGGCTACATTTATGTTAAGTCTGGTCGCTCGGGCCGTTGTACCTTTTGATTATGGTATGGTATTGTCAGATCCGAACATAGGGGTACTTTATTTGTTTGCCATATCTTCGCTAGGTGTTTATGGAATTATTATAGCGGGTCGGTCTAGTAATTAGGGGGCGGCCGTTCGGTCGCCTATGATAGAAGGACCAATGGGTCAAAAATAGGTTTGTGCCGCAGGTGTTGAACGATCTACTCTACACAGGTGTGGGCTTACAGGGCTAGGGCTCATAAACCCTTTCATTCATAAATAGGGCCCTGGTCGGTAACTTTTCCGGGCCGGCGGGATCGAAAAGTGGAAGTCATAAAAAAGAGATTTCTTTTCAAAAAAAGAAAAGGCGACGAAAGCCCACTACAGTACAGTCGAAGTAAGCGGCTGAGTTAGCCTAGCCTCGCCGACTTTTTCTTTTAGTAGGCGAGCGAGTTAGCGAAGACGCTTAGGCTAATTGCTAAGAGAGCGTCGGGGCGTAGCCTGAATTCTATTCTACTACGCTACGCAAAGTAACTTAGCTCGACGTTAAGAGAGTCAAGGTTATGACATAAATAGAATAACCGCTGTTCGCTTACTTTACTAAGGTATAACCTTTTGCTCCCCGGGGGAAAGCTGCTTCGCACCACTGATAGACTACTAAATAGGAAATGACAAAGGCCTTGTTTCGCAAGCCTTTGTCATTGTAAGTAAACTAAGTAGGGCGAATAGCCCCCTGCGAATCCGTAAATCTTAGTGAGGAGCATGCCGCGAAAAAAAAGGATGGTCCCCTATGCATTTCTTTCCGGAACGGAAAGAATTCAAGTACCTTACCCCCCATCATGGTGAACCTCTCCTTGTGATCGGGATGAGGTAGATGCCTCCCAGCCGGGGGGCTTATCGAATCGGAGTTTCCTTAGGTAGCCACCGACCTACAGTTATCCTTAAACTTCCGTGCTTGGTGGAGAAGAAGCGAACAAAGGTACGCTCGCTTGCTGTCTTGTTCTCTGCCGCGGACTGGGATCGCTCGCCAGCTAGGCCCTATAGAAGAAAGTTAGAGCAACATTGTATGAGAACATATTACCCATCTTCGGGGACAAGGGGCGGAACGACCTCTCGATCTACTTACTGACTACAGCCCAGGACGGGCGTCGTCGTCTAGGCGTTCCCTGTTGCTCTGATCTCCCCTACGCCTAGGACGTTGTCTGGGCCAAGAGCCATAGTTAGTTGCTGTTTCTCCATTTGGTTTTTTTCTCGTTGTTGATACCGGCAAGACCCAGCCAGATGATGATGTCTGCTGGTTGGTAGTGAGAGGACTCTTAGTACCAAGGGGCGCGCGCTGATGAAAAAACAATCATTTTCTTTAGTTTCTTGCTCTCCCTTAGCACTTAGCAGCGGGAAATGAGTCTATCTATCTGCCTAGCTTTGGTAGATTTCCCCCCAACGCAATGAAAAAACGGAAATTCCACGAATCCCTGAGGTGGATAAGTCCGACGACTCAGCAGCAGTGCGGAATGGAGTTTCTCGTCCGGTGGATCTGATCTATAGTTTCTAGTTATGGGGCAAGACATACCAAAAGGTTCGAAGAAGGAAGGCGCAGAATAGTATATAACCAATCCACCCTTCTGTATAACCTATTCAACGGCTGCATGCATAAGGGAAATGCACGTTTGTGATACCTTAGTCGGGATGCATAGGGAAGTCAACCTACGAGCACGGAAGAACGTGGGTACCACTGACTGTGCTCGGACTGCTGGAGCCGAAACTGGTTGGGTTGGTGCTTTGCCGGGTCCAGGAAAAGCGGATTCTAAGTGAGCTGCTTTTTTTTTTCATAAAAAAGAAAAAGCGACTGTTTTCACACCTATTTTCTAAGATTACAAAACGACTATCTTTTCATATTGTATGCTCCCAAACTGAAAAAGACCTCAATCGTAGGTTTCACTGTCCATAGACAGTATAACCTTCTTATTCCCCATCCAACAAGAAAGCAAAGAGCAAGGAGTAGTCCCTGTGGGGCAACCAGCCAGCAAAGGCGCTAGCTCAGGATCTGGGTGGGGTTTTCATTGACCAGCGATCAGGAAGCGGTCAAAGTAAGGTCAGACCGAGCTGGTAACTCCGCTGGTGGAGATCGCGCTGAGCAGAATCAAATGAGCTCGGCGAGAAGCTCTAAGCATTGGCAATGGCGGGACGGAAGAGGAAAAGAATAGCTATCGGCATTACCGATATGGGAAGAACTCCTTGCCCTAAGACTGACTGAATAAAATGGCATCAAGCCCGATTGAATTCGACTTCTATGAGCAGAATCTTACTTCACATTTTTGAAGCCTTTTTTTTGGCAGTTACTATTTCCGTCCGGTGAAGAGGAGCTTTCCTTGTTACCGGTCTAGTCTCTAGAGGAGACTCGCCTTTTTCCTCAAATGTCATTGCTAGAAAGAGCAGAGAGATAGAGAAATAGATAGTACAATAGTAAATAGCAAAGGCGATACTTTTTTCCCCTGCTCAACTGCCCTAGCTCCTACTTTACTTTCTTTCCATATGGAATTCCGTGAACATTGAAAGCATATTAGAGATCTGCCTACACTACATACCTGCCTCCTGAGAGGATCAAGCCGAGTGTAGTTCTTATAGCTATAGCTAAAAAAATCCCAATCCTCGCTCTGGACCAAGGTGCGTAGCCTTTTCTTTCATATTCTATTCTATTTCTCTCTTTCTGGCTTAGCCTACCAGGGAAATGGCTCCTTCTTATTGATAGCACAGGAATATGACCCGGATTGATCGCATCAACCCTTCCTTTTTTTATCTCAGATGGTATGAGAGGCGCTAGAAGCAAAAGACGCCTGCTATGCTTCCTCCTTTGCTTTTGCTAAAGCAAAAGAGAACGCTCCGCGCCTTCGCCTCTTCTCTGGCCGTGGGTGTGGTTATTCGACTAGTGATCTTCTTGTAAGGGACATTGGCTGGCTTCATTCCTATCCCAACAGCGAGTAAGGATCCAAGGCAAGGAAGGTAATAGGGAAAGTGCTAACATGCTAACACCAGGAAATCCCCGGGTATAAAAAGGAAGCGGCGGATGGTATGGGCTGCAGCATAAGAAGCTACGGCACCACAGTGAAGTTATAGCCAAAGGCCCCACACTTTCTAAAAGCAACAACAGAGAGAATTCCGGATAAGCGCTGAGTCCAATCCTAATTGCTACTTTGGAAGAACCAACACTAATGAAAGCAGCGAAGGGAACACCACATGTAGAAGTTGAGGCAGCCCCCCACCTATGCAAGCATCATTCCTTCAAGTTCGTAGGTCCCAGAAGTGGCTTCCCCACTATCTCGCCTAGTTCTAGTGCCATTTCGAAAAATCCCAGCGCAGATCTATTGCCTTCATTCTTATTAGAAAGATGTGGAGTGGTGGTTGACCGTCTCAGTCGACCAATTGAAGATCCTTTTGTTCCTTTCTCAGTAACCACATGGGTCTTTCTTTCTCAAAATCAAAAGAATTTTTTTGAATAAGTGAGAATGAGACCAGACCGCCAGCTAGCTAGTGCGCTTTACTAAGAACATAGAAAGGTTGTTGGATGCGTACATATTTTCAGCAAGGCGCTAGAGAGGTACCAGTTTAAGCAAAGGGGAAGAAAAGGTAAGAAAACCTTATTTAGTTTCTCGTTCTCAAGAGGCAAATCAACAAGCCAGCAACTGTTCAAAAACAAAAACCCAAGCTATCATCTCGCGCGGATCCATACCTATAACCACCGGCATCCTCACTAATTGGAGATAGGCACATCTAAGTCCTTTCTTTCTCTTTCTTATTCATTCTTTTTTGTTTTTCTCTGTTTTTCTTCTCTTCTATTACTTACTTATGTATTGTATTCCGACATGTGAGTAGAAGCGCTGTGCATTCGCTTTCCACTTACTTCACCAAACCGGTAAGGGTTGAAGAGCCATAGCTAGCAGAGGCACTCATAGTGCTAGTTCAAGAGCTCAAGTTTACCAGTTTCAACGCTTGATCTTGATTTCCATTTTATGATGTGATTCATAACAAACCACTCGTGCGTGAACCAGCAAAGAAAAGGTTCTAGGACGGTTTCAACAGCATCGTAGCGCTTGATATGGCGTCTTGCTACTTGCCTGCATCAGAGCAAGCAGAGGGGGAAACAGCAGAGTCAAAGGTAACATATAGTGCTCCCCCTAACTAGTAAGATTGGTATGCATCTACTAGCCCGTGTATCGTTATTTTACTTAAGCTGGTGAAACTACGTGAAGGAAACTTTGTCTCTATCTATGATGCTATAGATCATCTTGATCTAGCAGCGGAGAAATAAGTGCTGCTGCCCCTCTGCTCTTTCTACCTTTGCTTATCTTGCTTGGGTCTCGCTCACGGATCTCAACCACGAGACTCAGAATCACGCTTATTTATGAGGCTATCTCGATCTCTATTGTGCAGCCTGAAGTGGTTAGTCCTATTATCAAGGCGCTAGAGATGTCTGAGAAGGGAAGGATTCAGTGGTTTATAGTGAGCGATCGCTTAGCTTAAGGAGGCGCTAGATGAATTCTCGTTCCAGACAATGACGGAGGTCTGAAGAAAGCAGCAATCAATAGGATTTCCCGAATCCTCCCTTCCCGAAAGGAAGAACGTGAAATTCTTTTTCGGGAGCGATTCATCCTTCCCGAACCGAACGCAGCATACAACTCTCCATTGTACTGCGCTCTTTAAGTGTGCTTGTTCCCCCTTCTCCCTTACCATGGCAATTGTGAAATCGGAAGAAAAAAGAAAGCGTTAAGAGACCCTCCTGGCCCAACCCTAGACACTCTAAGATCCTTTTTCAAACCTGCTCCCTCCTCCGTCAAGAGATAGATAAATAGACACATCCCATTGCACTGATTGGGGAGTGCTCGTAGTGACTGAGGGGGTCGAAAACCAAGAAGTGAGTTATTTATACCAAGCATTCTTCTTATGTTATGGCTAGATCCAATCTCCTGGTCCCGAAAAAGAATCTATTGATTCTCTCCCAATTGGTTGGATCGTAGGTGCGATGATTTACTTCACGGGCGAGGTCTCTGGTTCAAGTCCAGGATGGCCCAGCTGCGCCAGGGAAAAGAATAAGAAGGAAGTCAGTCTGACTCTTTCATGCATGCTTCACTCGGTTCGGGCATTCGAGTAGGTAGGTTTTTTTCGTCCAAGGTAGTAAAAAGGTAAAGTAAATTGAGTTGTATTGACGAAAGCAGAAGAAATATGGAGTCTTATTGGCTTTGGCTTACTCGCTCGGATCTTTATTTGTTCGATCGTAAACTCATTCACAGCATTCGCTCGGAGTATCAGGAGAGGCGCTAGAAGAGGGCGCAACTCAGAATATTAAGGAAATGAATAGGAGGAGAGTTTTTACCGACATAACATGTTTTCTTGTTCTCCCAGACTGCTTATTAGAATTGAGAATGAAAAAACACCTTGTCTGAATCGTAAACAGGAACAGGCGAATAGCAGCTAGCTTATCACAGAATGCCTCAACCTTTTGAGGTAGTATAGTATTCGATTGAAATTGGACGACTTTCCTTTAGTAAGGCTTTCATTTCAAGACGCAGCTGCCCTAGCCTGAGTTGAGCAAAGCTATTATGTAGTGCAGCCTATCTTTTTGATGCGCATGGATGAGATCAATGACTTGAGCGAATACTTTTTTATAGAGGCGCTAGTTTTCTTTTTCTTCTCTTCATAGGAGTAGTTTAGAGAGATGATGCATCAGAGGAGGAAGATAAGAGCAGTATACGAGTTTCTCCGGAGCAGAACCTTCCAAAAACTAGAAGTTGTTTACTTCGAACAATAGGAAGCTTACGCTCCCAGAGAATCTTTTTTTTTCCATTCTTACTTATTATGGTAACCAGATTGGCCAGCATAGCCATAAGAAAGACCAAGGTGCGTAGCAAAGAAAAAGAAGAAAAGAGGTTTTTTCTAAAAGATCAAAGTTGTAGCCCTTCTCATAAATCTTCTCAACAATCAACAAAGAAAAAAAAGGAAGGCATATCGCTTCAACCTTCATCAAGCTTCTCTCTTTCTTTTATGGAATTTCCATCATCTCAGCATATCTCCTCATCAGGAGCAGCACCATAGAATTACCAGCTAGCTACTTCTTTTTCTGTTCCGGCAGACATTCTTCAGCAGATCATGACTGCTCTAAACATCCAGGAATATCTTGTTTGACTGGGGAGACTAAAGTAAAGATACAGGTCAAGTTCTTTCTCTATTTGCATTGCAAAAAATGAAAGAAAAAAAGAAGGAGTGGTATAAAGACTCTGCGTCTTCGAACGTAAGTTGTCCGCCTTTTCATCTTCAACAGGCACAAGGTAAGGTAATCCAATCTATTGGGGATGGTTCTTCCCATAATGTTTGAAGGTTCAGCCAGGCGCGAAGCGCTTTTCTTTTGAAAAATGTTTTGACTAGCTAAAAACCGTATGAAAATGAGCTTGACAGAATTTTCTCATTTATTTCCATTGTATTTCATGTTTTTTTTTATACAGGACCGGGAAGATTATTTTCTTAGTGAAGAGGTAGAGTAGAAAGGGGCTTTCGACCATTGATAATGACTACGACCCTTCCTCCAGCTGGCTTATTCTAAAAAGAACATGTCTCTTTCTTTTTCTTTTGGTTTCGTCGTCAAGCAGTTCAACATTTGAAAATAGCTTTTTCCATCCTAGTTGGCAGCGCCAATCTCTGTCTTTTTTTTTTAGACTTGGGTCATGAATGCGTTACTCTGGACGTTTCATTCTAAAAGGTTAGAACTGCTTGGTGGAGTGAAATTCATTCCTCTTTCTTAAGAGAATCAAGGTGAGTGTCTTCCCTTAGGCCTGCCTATTGATCAAAACAGTAGAATAGAATAAGGGTTTTCCACTCTCTCATCTAATCGAATACCGGGATATAGCGGTGTCATTTCGCTATCTCAGTGAATTCATTCCTGCCACATCTAAATAGAATGCAAGCTTTAGCCCATGCATAGACCATATACATAGAGACCACGGAAAATATCCCAGAGTATCCTAGTTTTTTCTGAAACTAGAACATGTTATGGATGGAATAGGACTTGACTTTCTAACACAGGCTTCCTCCTCCTGAATTGAATGAAAAAAATCCCCCCCAGACAGCTCAATAAGAGCAGAAGAGAAAAGAAAAAGAGAAAAAATAGACCAAGTGGATTGTTTATTGATAATTTCTTCACCAGAGAGTATGGTTTCTAATCTTGAAAAAAAATTTGGTATATGATTCTTTTTTTTTCAAAACTTTTTGATGAAAGAGGATTCTAAGGTAGAACCTCGCGTTCCATATGATTCTCCTCCTTATGATCTTTCTTTTTCTAATTTCTAACAAAAACAAAAACTGAGTGGAACAACAACTCAAAATTGGCCAATTCGAAGGAAGGTTCGATTGATGGGATTTGGTATGATACTTACAAGATCGATGAGATTGATCTTCCATATTTCTTCTTAGAACGTATTGATTTGACCCCATAAGCGGGACCACCACCCAATAGCATGTTGCCACCAGAAGCAGAACCCCGTATTTCTTCCAGAGAATCTCCTAATTGTTCCAGAACAACTAGAAAGAGATTCTTTAACCAGAAAGGATTCAGTTCAGATGTAGGATACCTATCCAGAAGTTTTTGAAATTCCATCATGTATGATGGAATCATCAAAGATTTGATCTTTTCTAACTCTGTCTGTAACTAACTAGAGGCTCGGGAAACAAAGAGAAGATGTATACGAACGAGATATCCAGCAACAAGAAGAAGGAAAAAGATGGAATAGAGGAACTCCCGAGCATTTGTTTATCTCAGATGTGCCCATATCAATGGAAGGGGTGACTCATTATTTCGATGAATCATTTCTTCGGACAGAAGAAGATTCTGTAAACATTGACTTGAAATCTCACTTATAGGAGTCCATTGTGGAAGAATCTTCTTAGGAATTGGCCGTGATATATCTGATTAATGCATCATATCATGAAAAATGGATACAAATTTTTGACTACTACTCAGTATCGGCAATGGGTCTGAAAGAGTATCTAAAAGGGTGAAATTGAGATATTTGCACCCAAGTAAGGAACCATGGCATATATGTTTGGAACAGATTCCATTTTGAGAGATTTAAAAAAGCACTATCTCGTTGAAAGGTTCTATACATCTGCCCTTTCTCAACGCATTTCTTTAGACAAAGACTCCGTTTTTTCCTCTTTCCGGATGGTAAATACTTCTCAGAACATGGAGTGTGAATAAAACCCATGTTTGAATTGAAACTGAGATACTGATGCAAGTTATTCCCTTCTTAATCAGATAGATTTAATATCTGAAAGAGGCTGACAATAAGTTTTTTCCAAATTGACTATTTGTTCCCTCTGTTAGAGGTGTTGCAGAAATGTCTGCGATCGAGTAATAGTTCCACGAACGAATGGATCGGATCGAATTGGAAAATGGAAAGAGTTTGTACAATTTGTAAAAGTTATACGTTTCACACCACTTTGTGGAAATCGTTAGGTATGAAGATGTCAGATACATGTGACTCGATTGGTGAAATAGTCTCTCTCTCCAAAAAAAGAGATTTTTTTTACCGACGCGCACAAAGAAAAAGATTTTGTTGCGATGGACAAGATATTTAGGAATTGTCCATATGTAAGATCAGAATTCTTGATACGGGTCTTTTGTTACAATAGAACCAGAAGTGATGTGGATCATTCAAGAATCGAAGTCGATTTGCTTTAGAAAAAGAAGATATCAATG